GAGGAGGCGGCGGCGGGAGCGCTCCGGCCCCATTAATTCCCGGGCACCGGCCCCGCGCCGACGCCGCCATCGCCGCGTCGCTCCCCCGGCCCCGGCACCGGCCCCGGGCGGGGATTGCGCTGGAAATAGCTTCCTCCCTCGAGGTAAAGCCCTACTTACGTGTCAATCCCCGCCGCACGCCGAAGCCCGGCTGCCAGCGGCGGGGCCGTGCGCGGGGCCGGCGGAGGATTTGCGCCGGGAGCGGCCGGGAGCCGCGGGCGGAGGGCAGCGGGGCCGGGCCGGGCAGGGAGGACGCGGGGAGCCGCTCCGTACGGCCCCGGGTCCCGCGCTGAAGTGGCGGGGCCGCGTCCCGCTGCTGGCGGCCGCTGTCCGCCCCGTGCCCGCCGGACCCGGTTGCTGGCCGGCACCGCGGCGGAAGCGTCGACCGGCGTGCAGAGCGAACGCGTGTTCGGCGTGGGGAGAGCTCGGTGCGGCGGGCGTGCGGGGCAGGGAGCGGGCAGGGGCAGGGCAAGGTGAGGGCAGGGGCAGGGCAGGGGCAGAGCCCCGCGGACGCTCTGCTCTCTTCTCCCTCCTGCGTCCGGCCCCGCGTTCAGCACCTCCCCGCTGAACAGCAGGAGCCAGGAGAGCCCGCGACCCCCGCCCTGCCCGTGCGTTCGGTGCGCCGCTGTGGGTGATGCTCCCGGAGGAAGGGATCTCAGATGTGTGTGTGTGTGTGTGTGCAGAGGTGATGGTCCTCCCTTCCTCTTCCATTTGTTGTTCACGTTGCAGATTAACTCTTCCAGCCAGCGTTTTGGGAAGTAGCAAAGTGCTCGTTCAAATCAGCAGAAATGTCAGTCAGTGAGGATGCACGTACTTGACAAAGAGCACCCGGGATGTTTGGTTGGTGCATACATTGGTGGTCACAGATCGCTGCCCCTCAGCCGTGTTCCCTCACACCGAGTGATTCCCAGAGCAGAAAGCACCATGCTCATCATGGCTGTGGTACCAGTCCTCGACCAGGAGCGTTTATCTTCCATTAGTAAGCCTTTCTCTGTGCTGAACTGGTTAAGTTAGGGTCAAATCTGGTTCAGTACCTTCTTGGCATGCTCAGAGGGCTGGGTTTAAACAGTGGCTGAGATGGAGACGAGGCCACCTTCCTACTGGCCCCTCTCTAATGGCTCTGTGTCAGTGACTCTTTCCCAGTAGCTCCTTCTCAATGGGTCCTTCCTGGTGGTTGTTTTCCAGTGGCTCCTTCCAGCATGAACTGCTGTGCCTGGGATCCCAGGGCTGTGCATCACCTTTGTTGATCCCAAAGCATCGCTGCTGCTGAGGGATGCACACTGCTCAGCTCCTGTTCCGCTGCACCAGGAAAGTCCGGCTATGGTGTGACAGGGCGTGTTTTCAAATAAAAGAGTTCAGAAAGGGAAGAGAAAATAAACTATGCTGACAACTGGAGCCTGGAATACTTAGCATAAGGCACAGAGTGTCAGTGATGGGAGGGATGTTTGCAAGGCAGTCCCTGAGAAAGTGAGCCAAGCTGTAAAGTAAGCAGGTTACCGATAGCCCTGCATGCATTGCTGAGGTGTGGTCACGGGAGCAGCTCCCCTGCCCCATGCTTGACCAGCAGTGCTGCAGGAGCTGCCCTGCTGCAGGTGAACCCCACGGTCCCAGTGCTGGAGCCTCTGCGTGCGGGATGGGCAGAGAGCTCTGTGGCTGGGAGAAGTGCTTCCCAGTTTGGAGGGGAGCCGAGGGGTTGGGCAGAGGTGTGTGCAGACAGCTCTTGAAGATGCGCGGTGCTCGGTGGGACAAAACACCAAGCGTTCACTCTGCACATGTGAGCGCCTGCCTTTGCCAGTACAAAAACATTGGCTGTGAGCGTCTGTAAAGCAGCTGTGAATATTGGACTGTAGATAAGAAGAGGAGTGAGGACGTTGTTTTTCCAAACCCGGCGGTGCCTGCAGCCCTGGCGTTTGGGTGTGGTTTGTGAGCGCACCCGCAGGATCTGACTTCCCTTTAGCAGAGGAGCTGCACGCACACTGCCTGACCCTTGATCGCTCAGTGCCTTCGTCGCTGGAAACAAAGCGATGGGACCTGGCTGCAGGCTGGGGAGATCCCTGTGCGGAGCTGGGGACGGCAGGAAGGAAGCAGGCAGCGGCTGCAGGGCCCCGGGCTGGAGGCACAGGGTGGGCACTGCCACCTCCCTCTGTGCCACGCGTGGCGTGGGGCTGCGGCCGGTCCTGAGAAAGGCGTTGGTAATGGATTGTGCTCTGTTTTCTAATGAAAGTTTCATTTGAAGTTTGTTTACAGGAAAGAAGAAATTAGCAGAGAGAATTCTCCTGAGAACCCAGAGAGGAAAAAGAATGAGCTGCCTGACTTGCAAGCCAAAAGAGGGTGGAAGGGTAGATTAGATTTACCGTATTGCTCTGAGTCGTGGCCGTTGTTCAGCAATTCTTCCTTGTTTTCCTGGTGGCTGAGGGTCAGCGTTCAGCCCCGTTGGTGGCATGTGGGGACAATTGGGGGCTGCCCATCTGACCAAGTTGTCAGTCCCACCGCTGCATCGGTAGCTTTGGGGCCGGGGCTGTGAGTGCCCAGGGTCCTGCTGGTAGAGGAAGCAGTGCCAGACTATGCTCTGCAATGTGTCCCCCCCCGGGTGTCCCAGAGAGGCAGCATGCTGGTGGCCGAGGTGGGCACAGGGCAGCGGGGCTGCTGGGCTCAGTGGAGTGCCAGGACGCACAGCAGTGCTTCTCTTGGTTCTCAGGGAAGGGGCACAGAGGGACAAGGAGCTCCCACGGCTCGGTGCCAAACAGAGAGGCTGCTCTGGTGGCCGAGTCCCCCACTGCATCCCCTGCAGTGTTAGCTGTGTGTTTCTATCCCCTGCAGCGTGCTTGCACAGGGTGGGCTCTGCCGCCAGACCCACACACTGTTGGAGAGGTTTGTCCTGTTGGTGCTTTGCATGAGGGTGGCCTTGGCTGGACAGCAAAAGGTGGCACTGGAGACACAGGGATGGCGTGGCCTGGCCCCACGCTGGCAGCCTGTTTCCTGCTGGGGGCTGGAGTGTGGACTTGGGAACATGCAACATCCGTGTTTGACCTGAGTCACATTTACGGTTTCTGGCTTGAGTATTTCTAATAATAGGCCAACGTTGCACCTCAAGAGAATGGTACACTTTTGTACAGCCCTTTCTGCAGCATGTGCGTGCGAGGCATCTTTCGTGCCTCTGATTTTCCAGCCTGCACGAGTGTCTCTGGGTCGGGGTCTGGGTGCTGAGGCTGTGCCTTCTGCAGGAGTTGTGCCTGAGCCAAACCCTTTGGAAAGCTGCCTGGGGCTCCCACCTGCCAGGTGAAGGCTGTGGGCAGCCGGGACCTTGGCATTTGCGTTTGTCTCTTAAGCTCTGACAGTAATCTTGGGTAAGCCTCGTGAAGGAGGCCAGATATTAGGGTGGCTGGCTCCCTGTGACTGTGTGCAGTGGAGACTATATATATATATAGTGTGGTGGGGAGACCTGTGCTGTCCTCTCCTGTACCCGCACAATGGGATTTGTGGGGAGGCAGTGCTGCCCTTGGCTGGAGTAGCAGCTGGGTGTGCTGGCAGCGCTGTGTCCCCAGTGCCCCCCACTGCTCCCAGTTCCCCAGTGCCCCCTGCCCTGCTGAGCTCGGCCATGGGTGCCTGAGCCATAAATTCCAGGAAGACCCTGGGAGGTGGGGAGAGCCTGTCCTGGGCATGCAGATGTGTCTGTGGGGACAGGGATAGGAGGAAAAGCCCCAACCTGTCCTGAAAGACGTTTGTTTGTTCACTCTAAAAGCTGTCAGAGGCAGCCAGACAGGGCAGCTTTTACGAGGCACAGCCGTACGTTGGAGGGGCTCTTGCCAATTGCTCCTCACATGGAAAGGAGCGGGCAGCGTATGTAATCTCAGGACTAGAGGAAAGAAAGAAAAGGAGCTGAGCATTTACAAGCCTGAGAAATGCTTCAATCAAAGGAAAGCACATCTGAAGGCCCTTCTCTAGGGTATTTTTTGGTGTCCCCCACCGCCCTGCAGTTCTGGATGTGGCCTCTATCCGTTATTTTGGGGGAGCGGCCAGGGAGAGGAAGGCAGATAAAGGGACCGCCGACAGGACCGTGTTAATTTGGGGCAGCATCTGCTTCCTGCAGAGCGGGTGCTGGGAGGGTGAGGGGAGCACCGGGCCCCTCCTCTCATTCAGGATCCCGGCCTCGCCGGTGGTGGTTTTGAAATCCTGCGGCTGACCTTTCCGGCTCTGGAAGCGATCCAAGGGCTGTGTCTCAAAGTGCTCTAAAGGTTAGTGGGAAGGGAGAGAGAGGCAGAGAGAAAATGTCCTTCCAGCTGCAGGAGTGGGAGAGAGGAATGCAATCTATTCTGTGGGGCCCTGGGGCTGCCTGGTCTCCACTGCCCTGCTCAGTGCCCCTCTGGCATAGGATGAGTGCAGCCGCAACACTGGCAGCCCCTATGGCAACACGGCGTGGTCAGCCCCAAGCCCCAGAGCTGACCTCAACCCCTTCCATGGGGCCTTCCTGCAGCACCGGGCAGTTGGAGTCTGTGGGATCTGATCTCATCATCCCCATTTGCTCCCCACCAGCGCAGCTCCGTCGGTGTTCCCTTGATGCAGGAGGTGGTTCGGTCTTAGAAGGATCTGAACTGTTTGTAGGGCCATTTGCGTGGAGCTGCGCCCTATCTCCACTCCCACGTGCCACTCGCTTGCCAGAAACACGTTAGTGTGGATGGAGATTAAAGGGTAAACTCCAGGGCTCAGCCATCCGCTCCTACAGGATGCGAGCTCTTTCTAATTGTCCTCAATTAGAGACAGTGCCATTGCTCAGGCACGTCTTCAGGCAGGAAGCGGCGCTGGGGCGTTCTCCTGGGAACCACCTCACCCGGGCTGCTTGCGGGCTCCTGGGCTGCAGGAGCTGCGTGTCCTGGGGAAGGCTGCGGTGGGGAGATGCCAGAGCAAGGGGATGGAGGGAGGAAGAGAGCTCTGTGCCTTAACCATTTCCTGCTTGCCTTCAGGATGAGACGTCGGTGAGCAGCGAGGACTTTGATATGAATGACTCCACATGGATCTCAGCTGACCAGCACCTGAACTCCAGCCTGAGCCCCAGCCAGGACGAGAGCATGCGCAGCCCGCAGAACCTTCACGGCCAGGAGGATGGTGAGTGCCTGCAGCCACGGGAAGAGCGCGGCGCCTTGTGCTCAGGGTGTTTTTGTGGCTCATTAAACATTAACCAGTCCCTTCTGATCAGGTGTCCCACCTGTAGGATGGATTTCATATCAGCACGGGCTTTGAAGCCTTCCTGGTCAGCCTGCAGGCTGCTGATGGCCAGGCCCTGCCCAGCTCTGGGCTGAGGGGTCCTCATGGAGGACACGGTCACAGCCCCCCAGGTCCTGAGAAGGCATTGGATTGGGGTCCCCAGGAGCAGCCCCATGGCTCCTTGCCACAGGAAGGAGAGCAGCCTCTTGCAAGAGGATCCGTGCTCAAAAAGCTGCACCTGAGGCAGCACGTGAGAAAAATGCACTGGGATCATGGAATGGACATGAGGTGTCTCATTGCTTCGGGCAGGTGGCTGGAACCCATATGTGGGCTGGGAGGGAGGGGGCCTTTGGTAAGGTGACGTGCTGTGTTTCTTCTGTGAAGCTAGTTTAAAAAATTGCTCGAGTAAATAAGTGGCAGAAGTACAGGTTCAGGTCGGAGTTCATCTTTGTGATGCTTGCAAGGGTTCAGTGCTTGGGCTGCTCCTTGGCTTGTGCTCACCCACAGCCCAGCTGCTGCTGAGAGAACGGGCTGGGAGCGAGGAGCAGTGCTGAGAAGGGGCCAGGAGACCCCTAGGAAGGAGGGGCTTCTGCAACCCAACATCTCCCAGGGGTGGCTTTGTGCAGCCATGGGACAGGGATGCTCCATTCATTAGCCTGGAGCCAACTGTGGCATTGCCAGGTCTCTGTATCCCCAAACTTCGCTGTTCTCCTGCCAGGACATTTCAGGCTTGCGGCTTATCCCTCACTGATGAATTCCCAAGTCTTGTTTACAATCTAGAATGACATGGATTGGATCCTTTTACTCAACACTATTATTCTACAAGACAGTAATTTAATAAGGGACTCACATATTTAAGCAAATCAAGATGTTCTCACTCAAGCTAAGTCCTCTCTCCATCTCTCTGCCCTCTTAGGAAATGCGTCCAATTTTTTGTGCCCTGTGATTTTTGTTTGGAGGCAGGTGTCCTCTTTGGGGCCCTTCTTGGCTCTTTCGGTTTCTTTTATAAGGTTCAGCAGTGAGTAGCAAAGTACAAGCAGCTCCTTCCTTTTGGTGAGGAGTGCACGTGAAGTTGCAACTGACAGAGCAAAACAGGAGGAATCGAAGAGAGAGCAAACTGAGTTGGGTGTTAGTAACAGGACTCCCCCAGGAGAAGCCCAGCACTGGGATTTTCATCAGACTGCTCTGTTTCAGGGGCTGTGGGACAAGAAGCCCAGCCCCATCACTGCTGTGTACCCAGTACTGGAGCTGTGAGCTCAGGGCACTGCAGGGATGAGGGGTGTCTGGTGGTCTCTGCATTTAACCCACCCTGCTGTGGAGCTTTAGCAAACATGTTTTGCCTTCTTTGTGCCAACTCACAGAGGCTATCCCAGGGAAGACTCCTAAAAAGACAAATGGCAGGAACTAAAACTTGTGGGCTGCATCACAGAGGGCACAAGCAGGGTAGCAAGAGGGATCCACTCAGTGTTTTGGTCTCCATCCTCTGTAAATCCTTCTCTGAGCTGCTCCCATCTGCTGTTGTTTAATGGGAAGGATGCCTGGAGCGTATTTTCTGCGACAGGCTTCCTAAGAGGCAGACTTGTAATGAAGAGGTGCCTGTTTGGACAGCAGTATCATCTGACACACGTGGTTAAAAGAAGTCCTGTTTGAAGTGCTGAAGCACAACTGCATGTCTTCCAGGGGGCTGTAAGGGGTGAGTGTTCTCATATGACACATGAGCACAGCAGCATGGAACAGAAAGGTGGGAGAGCAGGAAGCTGTTGTCCCATGCTTTGAAGCACAGGTATCTGCTGTATCTTCAGCGAGCTGAAAGGCAGCTCAGATGGAAGCCAGCACCTCATTTTGTCTCTGTGCCCAGAAACCTTGGCCCCATGTAACCATGCTGCAAACAGCGTCAGCCTCTGGAACGTGAAACAGCACAGGGAGCAAATGAGAACTGCTGGCTGCAGGAGGTGAGGGACAGAGATGGGGCTCATGTTGGGTTGGTGTCACTGCAGGCTGCAGGGGAGTGGGGACACATTGCAAGATAAATAGGTGCATTGCGGGGTACAGAGATGCTTTGCAGGACACACAGATGCACGGAGGGACACTGGGACACAGCAGGATGCAAGGATGCACAGCAGGATGCAGGGATGCAGGGACGCATGGAAGGATGCAGGGACAAAGAATCCATCCCCAAGCAGCAACCCTGACACAGGCGCACACTTGCTTCTTCCATTTTCCTTTGTTACTCATCCTGCGGGCCCCAGCACGGAAAATGTGAAGCTCCCTGCAACATCCCTTCCCTATAGGATGTTACTCACAGTGCTTGTGCCCCGCAGGAAGCCAGTGGATACCCAGAGCAGCAGCAAGATCAACACAAACTTTCTGCTGCTGAAGCTGAGCCATTGTGCAGGAGGACATCCTGGGGGGATGCGTCCCAGCACACATTCAGAGCAAAACACCCCAAAATGCATGGCATCAAACCGGCCCCATCCCCAGTGTGCCATTAGGCACTGCCAGCCCCAAGCTGGCTTCACTTGGAGCTGCAGCAGCTGGGCTCAGGGCTGCCTTCCCATGGCTCAGGGTTGGGTCACTCCCAGCAAGATTCCTGTGCCTCTCCTCCATGCTGTGTCCCCGCTGATCCCGGTCTGCCTGGAGCTGCAGCCGCTAATCCAGACCTTGGAGAAAGGACTTTCTTAACCTACTTAATGGTGAAGGCACGCTCAGCAGGCTGTCCCTTGTCCAGGACATCTCCTGAGAGCCAGGAGGAGCCACAGGGATGAGCACATGGCATGCTTTCAGGTCGTCTCAGGAACCGTGGGGGTCCCAGCACCAAGCCATCGCACGGCTTCTGTTGGCTCTTGGCTGGGAGAAGGGCTCCCGATCACTTCCCACCACCCCAACACCTTGGTGCTGCAGGCAGGACAAGGCCAAGCCAAATGCCTGCAGCTGTGCCAGGGAAGATGCCCATAGCCGTGCCCCTTGCTGTGCGGCCGCGTGCCGGGGGCCGCCGCTTGCTCTGATGGCAGGAGATGGCACCAGGGGGTACCGCCGGGCCGGGGGGGCTGGGCGCACAGCACTGCCTTGTCCCTGCAGAGCATTGTGCCCGGCTGTGCCAGGTGTCGACTTGTCGGGGACTGCGGCCGGAGGCTGGGACCCGGGAGGGTGGGAGGAGGATGGAGGCTTCGTCTGGGATGTGAGGAGGTTTGAGTTAACGAAGGAAGACAGGAAATACAGCGCCTTCGGTGGAGGCGGGCCAGGCCTGCTGCTCCTCATCCCCCATCAGTGTTCCTTTTTTCCTTTTTTTGTGTGTCATGGAGGAAATGGGCCGGGCGGGACCTGCAGGGAGCGGGCGTCCCTCTGCACCCCGACCCTGGGGCCCTGCGTGCTGCCCGCTTCTGCCTCCCCCAGGAGCCATCCCCACCTGGTCTCTCTAATTTGTATTAAGTGTTCCTTCCTCGCAGGCTCTCCTCCTCCCCTCCTTCCCCCTTCTCGTCTCTTTTGTGAGTGAATAATTTATGGCACTTTTCATCTTCCTGGCTGTTGTTACACTCAGATGTCTGCGGGATGCTTTGAACACTTCTGACACTCGCTTGCAGGCTGGATGCGGAGCTGCAGCCCACAACAGAGCACTGGGCACTCCACGGGCATGGGCATGGCCATGCGGGCACTGTGGGCACAGCTGGGACACAGTGTGGGCTCGGCTTGGGCCTGGTGCTCTGGTCTGACTGTGGGCAGTGAGCCCTGGCCAAGCCCCTGTTCCCATGTCCAGCCCTGTCTCCATACCCGTCCCCATCCTGGCTCAGGGCTCGGCGGCCCCTGCCCGGCCGTGGCAGCACGGGGCTGCGGCGAGGTTTCCGTGGGCTGCTGGCTCTTACATAAGCTCATTGTTTTCCGAGTCAAAAGAGGTTTTGTCCTGGCTCTGGAGATGTGACAGGAGGAGGAACAATTTGCCCCATTCATCTTTAATTCTGCCTTTGGACAGCAGCGTGGTGGCCCTCGCTGACATAGATGTTAAACCCAACCACTTCCCTGCCATAAAATCTCCTGGGGAGCAGGTGTTGGAAATCTCCCCTTCCCCTCCTGATCTCTGCAAATCCAGTGTCACAGAAATCAAGGATAATCCAGCAGCCTCTTCAAAATGAAAACGCTGAGCCCTGATTAATTCATTTAATAAGTGACTGATCCCTCCTCCCCCATCACCGCTACCCAAGAAGCCATTTTGCTTCTCGCTTCCCCGGGATTGGCGCAGCCGGGGAGGGATGGAGGCCACAATAGACTCCAGGCTGTGTCCCCATCCCCTGCTCTCGTGGTGCTGCCCCGTGCCACACGCCCCACTCCTGGGCTGCCCTCGGCCTTCAGCCCAGCTCTGCTGAGTCCAGGAGGGGAACGAAATATTTTGCTTCCCAACCGAAAGATCAAAACATCTCCAAGTGACATTGTTTTTACAGATCCATCTGCTTCAATTAGGGCGTGGGGGTGAAGCAGGGGGGCTTCCAATTATCCTCATTAGAGGGGCTCCTCGCTCAGCCAAACTCCAGCCGTGAGCAGGGAGCTCACGAGGCTCGTGCTGGTTGATAATGAATATATTCATGGCTGCGCAGCCTGGCTTTGCTCTACCGCTGCTCGCGGTGCCCTGCTATTTATTTGTGTGCTTTGGGCGCTTGCTGGGGGTTTGCAAAAGACCTCCCAGATGTCAGGAGTTCTGCATGATGTGACTCGGGGTGCCATGGCTGCAGTGTTGCGGCCATACGTCCCTGTTGCAGGGTGTGGGGACAGGTTGGAGCCAGGCTGTGGCAGCTGAGAAGGAACGCAAGCGCGGTCCCGATCCCATGGAGCTGCCCCTGTGCTGCCTCTCGAGGGCATCCCCATTCTTAAGCTGGCTGAAACCATTCCTGCTCTGATCCAGGGTCCTCAGCAATCTGGATTTGCGGCCGTTCCTCTGCCCACAAGGCAGATTAATCCACCACTCTATATGCAGATCTTCTGGGAAAGCGTAACCCGTACAAGTGTAGAAAGAAGAAAACGATCAGGAGCAGAGGGTTTACTTACATTCAGCCTTGTTTTAAACTACAGTGTTCTTGCAGTCGGTACATAGGAGCTGGAGGAGCTGCAGCAGAGCTGGGGGCCGTGGGAAGGCTGCAGGGGTGGGCAGGGTGCCCAGGGCAGTAAGGGGTGCTTGGGGCAATGTGGGATTGCTTGGTGCAGTATGGGATACCTGGACAATGTAGGGTTGCCCGAGCAAAGGATGCCGAGGGCAGAGCAGGGGTGCTCAGGTCAGGCTGGGGATGCTCAGAGCTCTGCAAACTCCTGTCCCCAGTGCCAGCTCTCAGTGCTTTGGCACAGTGGGATTCTTGTGGCCGGGGCCCCCGCTGTGTGCCAGGCACAGTGCTGGGGCTGTCTGCCCCCTGAGGACCGCCAGGAGGTTGCTCTGATAGCTGCAGGGCGGCACTGATTGGCCCTGAGCTGTTGCTGTGGCCTTGCCTGGGCTGGTGGCGGGGCATGGCACGCAGCTCATGCCTCCATGCAGAGGAATAATGCTCCCTAATCCTCCCAGAGGCATCTCTGGATGAGGCCAGAGACTCCCTCTGAGAGCAGAGCAGGGGGAGGGACAAGGCTCAGCCCCCACTGAGTGTAGTACCGCTCCACCTGCCCCAAATCAGCATGGAGCCTGCACCCAGAGCCCAGCCCCAGCCTTGCTGGCGGGTTTGGCTGCAAGCCCACATGCCAGCGCAGGGCATGCATGGGACAGAGGCTGGGGAGCTGAACAGGGTGGGCTGGGCTGCTGGCTGCAGGGCAAGGCCCTCAGACATCCTCCATGCCTCCAGCCCCTGCAGGCAGCTGTGCATGGGGCAGAAACCAGCATGGGGACAGGGGCATGTAGAGTGCCCAGGTGCAGAGCCAGCGCCGGCCTCAGCTGGCAGCCGGGGCTCCTGCCTGCACCCAGAGCAGTAAGTGGGTCAGTGCAGGGGGGAGGACGGAAGGGAGCTCTGCAGGCTCTGTGGGGGTGTTCCAGTTCTGGGGCTCGTGGGGAATGGAGCCGCCTCAGAACAGGGAGCGCCCATTCCTGTGCTGGGGTGGTTCAGGACAGGCACGGCCCCCGCGGGCTGCTCGGATGCCTGAGCGTCCTCAATCTGTTTATTTTAAGGGATACAAAGTCCTGCATTGCTGCAGCCTCCGCAGGGGTCACAGGAAAGTTCGCCGTAGCTCTCATTAAAGTTCTCTGGAGATGCCGGCGGAGGAAGGAGGAGGAGGAGGAGGGTGGCAGCAGCTGGGCACCGTCCCGCACCCCGCGCCTGTGCACCTTTGGACCTGGCGCCCGTGTGCCTGGAGCTGGTGGCATGGTGTTGGTGCCGCCCCACAGCCCGACCCCAGCTCTGGGGGCCAGGGAGCAGGGGCTGGGGATCACAGACCAGGGGCTGGGGACCAGGGACCAGGGACCGCCATCTGCTTGTCAGTGGCTGCAGCTTCTTTGTTCGCAGCACACACTTGCACAGGAAGCAGCTCCCCACGTGCTTCGCCCTTTCCCTCTCGCGGAGGCACCTAATGAAATAAAGGATTTACTGCAGTGAGGGGGAGGGCAGGGGGCTGAGCGGGGGCTGAAGATGTAGTGCTGAGGCTGGGCTTCTCGGTGTGCGTGGGGTGGTTGGTGGTATGGGAATGGGGTTGGGAATGGAAATGGAGATGGAGATGGGGATGGGGTTAGGGATGGGGATGAGGAGGGAGATGGAGATAGGGATGGGGATGGGCTCTGCTGCAGTCAGGCAGAGCAGCACAAACAGGAGCCTGGGGACAGTCAGGGACCTGGGTGTGTGAATGGAAAGGAGAAAGAGAAAGCACTGCTGTGTGCTGGGAAAGGGAATGGTGTGCTGCACTGCCAGGGTGTGGTGGTGTGTCTGCTTGGGCAGTGGGGCAGTGCAGGGAGGCTGTGGCTGCAAGGAGAGTTTTGCATTCAGAGCAGCAGTAGTGGGAAAAGGGCATTTGGGAGGGCAGGGAGAGAGTGGAGGAGGAGGGACAAAAGCGCCCTGAAGGGACCCAGTGTCCTTCTGCACTGTGATGGGCAGTATGGTTGGCACTGCTGCCATATGGATAGCTCAGGGACACGTGGAAGTAGGCAGGAAAGGAGATCATCCACATAGGGCGGACAAGGTCAGCGGGGCTGCAGTGAGTTGGAACAGGTCAGATGTCTGTGCAAGTCCCTGTCCCCTTCCCAGAGCAGCTGAGGGCTCTGCAGGCCCTCACCAGAGCCCCTAGGCAGCTCCCCAGCCCCACTGCTCCACTCCAGCCCTCCTTGAGCCCCTGGAGCTGCACTTCGTCATCTCAGTTCTGGCCAGACTCTATCTGTGCCAGGTGCTGCCCTCGTTAAAGCCATTGGAGACAAGGGATTCAGGCAGGGAGAGGAAATGCCCCTTTCTCCTCCCTGCAATGTAAACAGAAACCTAAAAGGACCAAATTCCAAAGTTCTTATTCAAGCCAAGGTGCCGCAGGCCCCAGGCAGAGGCGTGGGCAGTGGGATCGTCATCTGCAGAGGAGATGGAGGGACAGAGGGATGGATGGATGGACGGACACACTGTGGATGGGTGCGGGATACGGCGGTGTCTGGCAGCTCAGAGCATGGCAGTGCAGCTCTGGAAACATGGCCCAGCAGTCACAACAGCAGTGCCTGGCCCTCGGGCTGCTGCCTGTGAGGGCCCCAAGCTGGACCCCGCAGTCTTTGCACCCAGACCCTGGGCTTCTCTCCACGAGGTCGGTGAAGGGTGACCTTGGAGGTGACCACACATCCCTCTTTGCAGATGACTCCTCGTCAGAGAGCTGCAGCGGGAATGGCTCCTCCACCTTGAACCCCTCCACCTCCAGCAGCACGCAGGGCGACAGCGCCTTCCCCGAAATGAATGGGAATGGCACCGCAGCCCCCATGGACTTCACTGCCTCCACCGACGACCAACCCATCAACCTCTGCGACAAGCTCACACCTGCCCACGTCACCCCTTCCTACCAGTCAGACAGCTGCAGCACCGACGGGCTGCGCAGCAGGGTGAAGTACGCGGTGAAGACCACAGCAGAGGTAGGGGGCTGAGGGCACGGCACATGGGGAGGGAAGGCACTGGGGTGTGCGTGATGCTGGAGCTGGCATGGCCACGAGTCCTTCTGCCTGGGCTGTGGCAGGAGGATGGGACGTCAGGAATGGGGATGGTGGCAGCGAGCCAAAGGGAAAGGTTTGACCTGCAGCTGGGGGAAGGTCGAGGCTGTCTGCTAAAACCCCTGTTCCCCTGCAGTCCCCACCATACAGCTCTGGCAGCTATGACTCCATCAAGACCGAGGTCAGTGGCTGCCCCGAGGACCTGACAGTTGGCAGAGCCCCCACGGCTGACGAGGATGATGATGACCATGACGACCACGAGGACAACGATAAGATAAATGACTCTGAGGGGATGGACCCGGAGCGGCTAAAGGCCTTCAATGTAAGGACGGCGCCACGGGGCAGTGAGTTTGCCCTCCTTGTGGGTTCGGTGTTCCCACCTCTTGTCTCCTCTGCAGATGTTTGTGCGCCTTTTCGTGGACGAGAACCTGGATCGGATGGTTCCCATCTCCAAGCAGCCCAAAGAGAAGATCCAGGCCATCATCGAGTCCTGCAGCCGGCAGTTCCCCGAGTTCCAGGAGCGAGCTCGCAAACGCATCCGCACGTACCTCAAGTCCTGCCGCCGCATGAAGAAGAACGGCATGGAGATGGTGAGTGGCTGTGCCGTGCTGTGAGCATGGCTGTGCCGTGCCCTGTTGTGCTATGCCATGCCACAGCACCGGGGCCCTGAGCTCGGCTCTCCCTTGTGTCCCTGCAGACCAGGCCCACGCCACCGCACCTCACCTCGGCCATGGCTGAGAACATCCTGGCTGCTGCCTGCGAGAGCGAGACGCGGAAAGCAGCCAAGAGGATGCGGCTGGAGATCTACCAGACCTCGCAGGTACCGTGCCTGAGACTGTAGTGTGTGGGACGGCACTGTGAGCAGTGGGGAGGTGGTCTCTTGCTGCTGGAGACCATCAGACTCTCTGCAGCCAACCTCTGTGCTTCTTGTGTAGGACGAACCGATCGCCCTGGACAAGCAGCACTCCAGAGACTCCACAGCCATCACCCACTCCTCCTATTCACTGCCAGCTTCGTCCTACTCTCAAGACCCCGTCTACATCAATGGAAGCCTCAATTACAGCTACCGTGGCTATGGGTCCCTGGGAGGCAGCCTGCAGCCACCTGCGCCGCTCCAGACCGGGAACCACAGTAATGGTGAGCAGCCCTGGTAGTACCCAGCCCTGGCAATAGGGTGAGGCAGGGGCTGGCCCCAAGGGAGCCCCACTCCTGTAGAGCTTCTCTGGAATGCTGTGCCACCAACGGCGGTCTCTGCCCCACCATCCAGCTTGCATCATTAGCAAGCAGTTAATTGTTGAACTGAACTTGAAAGAACAGTCTAGGTGAAAATGGTGGAGGAAAGGAGTGTCACTTAGAAAAAAAGGGAATCTGTACCAGCCATTCATTAATGATTAACAGAGTGGTGCCTATCGCCGCCCTGATCTCATTGCTGGTATGAGCCGTCCCTTCCCCAGCCTTCATCGCCTGCTCTTGGGGACAGGGATGGGGACAGTGCAGTCTGCGGGCACAGCTCTGGCTGCAGCTCAGGAGCATGGCTGCGTGGCAAACAGGATGGATGCTGCAGGAGGGAGCTGTAGGAGGCACATGAGGCCACAAGCAAGTGAGCAGCATAGAGCGGTGTGGGCTGGAGCGGGGCACACAGGGAGGCAGTGAGGTGCTGACTGCTGCTGGAGGGGAACAGAATGGGGCAGAGCAGCCCGTTGGCTCTGCTCACTGTGAGCCCCAGTGGCCACTCCTTCCCGGCCCGCTGCCTTTGCCCACCCCAGCTCCCTGCTCCTGCCCTCCCTGACGGAGCGCGGATTTGAAGGGATGTGATTTCCGGAGTCCTGAGAGATGCCTGTCTGGGATTAACTCTTATCATCCCTTCCTAATGCTTCTTAACCCTGAATAAAGATCCCACCCTGGCCTCCAGCTGCTGAGACCTAATCCTTGTGGCTGCAGCTCCTGGTCCCCCCCAGCCCAGCCCTGGCCCCACCGCCCTTCTCTTACCAGGCGTGGGCACCGAGTGCAGTTCCCATGACATGAGACAGCCAACAGCTGCAGGGAGAGCCCTGGTGTGAGCGAACAGGCCTTGCTTGCAGCAGACATCAGCCTATTTGCTTCTTTCTAATGGATCTTTAAACCTCTGCTTCCTAATTTTCTTCCCTTCTCCCATGCACTCACCCAGCCCCGCGTAGGTCTGAGCACAGTGGCAGCACTCACCCATGGGGCAGACCCAAAGTTTTGCAGGACTGCCTCTCACTGACAGGCTCTCCTTTCCCTCGCAGGTCCGACTGACCTCAGCATGAAGGGGGGGGCCTCCAGCACGGCCCAGTCCAACAGCACCAGCAGGGGGATGCAGGCTGCCCAGCTCAGCCCCACAGAGATCAGCGCCGTGCGGCAGCTCATCGCCGGCTACCGGGAGTCCGCGGCATTTCTGCTCCGCTCTGCAGATGAACTGGAAAACCTCATTTTACAGCAGAACTGACTCCTCGTGGCTGCGGCGCTCCTCTGTCAGGAAGACAATTTACACCTGCTAGCAATTGGCTCCCAGCGGTGTCCCGCTCAGGACCGCCACCGTCCTCCCGTGAAGCGGCGGCTCCGCGTAGTTGTAGAAGGTGGAACCCAACAGAGCTGTTTTCTTTTACACTCCGAGCACCTGGGACTTCAGGCACGAGGCCACGTTCCTGACCCGTACCAGAAGCCAAACGTGCGGCTTGGAAGGATGCAGGACCTCGAGGGCAGAAGGGAGCCTGGGGAGGTTTGGGGCTGCAGATGTATTTAGGATGACCTTGATGGACCCAAATGTTAGAATCCCGTCCCCAGATAATTTCCAAGTCTTAGGTGAGCCGAATCACATATTTATTGAGAAATGGACCCTCTTCTCCCCTTAGTAATTTATTTTTCTGAAAATGGATTCTTTTGAGTTTGTACAGATTGCCAGTTTTGTGTTTGTCTGATCAGAAGGAATTTGTTCCTGTGAGATAACACATTCCATATCACAACACTACTAATTCCCAGGCAGCTCTGCCTGTTTCTCTGGGCAGCCCCCATCCCTCAGGGCGTGTGTTTGCCACCACCCGGCCCCATCCGCAGCAGCAGTGGGGCTCCACGTCCTGCAGAGACTCGGACGCCCAGCAGACCTCATGCTAGAAGGACGTCTCGCACTTGCTAAGTCATTGCAGATAAGAAGGAAGGAAACACCCGAGAAACACTGTCTTGCGTTCACCATCCGCATTCTACCTCACACTCCATTGTGGGCTTTTTCCAGGACCCCCCCCGGCTCTGTGACTGTCAGCGCAGTGGATGTGGATGGTGCCCAGGAGCGCGGAGCAGCAGCGCAGTGCCCAGTGCTGCCCCACGGCTCAGTGAAGCAGCCCTGGGGCAGCAGCACAGCACCGTTATCTCACGTGTGCAGTGCATTTCGGCAGCAGCCCCCAGCCTGTCCCCCCCCCCCTTCCCTGCCCGCAGTCCTGGAACAAGCCCACAATTCCCAAAGTGTGGAATTGATGCAGTCCGGTCACCGCTCCGCCCCCTCCCCAACGATGCACTTCGTTTGCTCAGTGCAATACCTACAACCAGTGCTGCTAAACCAGGGACGCGCTCGGTGCCGCGGTGCCACTCCTCCCCAGTGCTGGCGTGGCCCTCCTCGAGGGCAGGAATTGTCCCACCAGACCGATCCGATAGTACAGAACCACATCTCGTGTGCATTAAGCAGAGATAGGCGCTCTCTTTGGAGCCGGCTGTTTCATTCTGCCCTTTTTTGGCCACTTTGAGCTTGAGGACGAAGGCTGCTGCACGTGCCCATGCTGCAGGAGCCCCCAGCACCACAGGTTGTGGCAAAGGCTGGTTCCCCACCAGCAGAACCGGGCAGCACAGTGCAGCCTTCTGAACCAACCGAACGCCCAAACACTGGAAGAAAAACAACCCCCAGCCCTTAGTTTCAGTGCAGGAAAAGCCACCAACGTGAGGACAGGCTTGCCTGGCCCAGCACAGAAGGGACGAACCCTTGCACTGACTGCTCTGTTCCCCAAACCCGACACTTTCGGTAACATTCGGAGGAAGGGGACTCGGTCCCTCAGTGCAGATGGAGCCCACACAGCTGTGTGCCATCGGGTGGCTCCGGGGCAGAGTGGGACCCATCCCCATCCCCGGCTCACGCTCCCCCCGCGCACCGCGAGCCCGCTCCGTTCGCATCCTCCCATCCTTGGAATTTATGTAAATATTTATTTTTGTGTGAATACCACGAAGTAACAAAACCTTTTACGAAATATGTAACCCACAGCCATTTGTGAAAGTCTTATTGTTAAAGAAGGAGAGGCAGAGACAATCGCTGTCCCAGAATTCTCTCTTTCCCATGTGCTCACGCCTTGCTGTCCCTGCTCTGCCGCAGAGCACGCAGCTGCAGCGTCCCACCGTGCTGCAGGAGGGTGCCCAGGGGCTCACCGACACACCCACATCCATTCCTTTGGGTTTTATTTACGCAGAGTTGTAGCTGTCTTGAGCAGACCGCCCTTGACTTTGTCTTAGCGTGGATTGAAGTTTCGTAGCTCTTTTCTAAGCTGCTGCAGAACGCAGCGGAGGCCCCACGGTTGCATAGGAAGGACACTGAGCAGCCCACCCCGCCCTAAGGATGCTCGTAACTCAGGGCTGCACGGTACAGACGCACAGCCCCGCTGACAGCCGCATCTGAGACAAGTGATGAAACAAACGGGATTGACTACAGATTTCTGTCAGGGATTTATGGTGTTTTTGTTTTTGTTTTTTGTTTTTGTTTTTGTTTTTTATTATTTCCTTTTTTCCCATGAGCCACATTTTAGTCCCTTTGGCACAAGCTCTGTGCAGGTCCCACTGCCCCGTGCTGGCGCTGGGCCGCATGCTCTGTTTATTTAACACAAAACTCATCGCTGATCGAGTAAAGAGATCTCTGTCGTCTCTCCCTTTTGGGTCACTCCCAGCTGCCCGGAGGGGCCGTTCCCATGCAGGGTCTCTCCATGGGAGCACTCCGGGTTGGTGGCACTCAGACCTCCCGACCCGCGGTCGGATCAGTACCAGTCCACGTCAAATGCTGCTTTGAACTCAGAGGGTTAATATACTTTTGATTTGTAATTTTTTGTAAGACTTTTTACAAGGTAGCATAGTACTTCACCGGAATACCAACTACAATCCGTCCATGGTCTGATTTTTATATAATTTAGTGGTGCTTTAGGAACTTTCGTTCGGTTGTTTCGGAGCTGTCCAGCTCAGTTTTTTCGCCTGTATCTACCTAAGACCAATGTGAACCTTTGTATTTTTGCTCCTAATTTTGGACTCAGTGAAAGTGTACTGTTTACATGTACAGAACTCCCGGCCCCTGTGTGTTCCGCGCGACCGCTGTTGGGGAGGAACCGCCCCGCGCCCGCTCGTCTGCTTGACCAAGCCACAGTCACACCTCACCCACACCTCCCTGCCCTGGGGACGGCCCCAGACACCCCCACCAGCTGCTGGAGGTTTTTCCAGTGGCCGACGCAAAGATTGGCTGTGATTTGAAATGGGAATTGATGTGAAGCTGCAGCTGAGCAGAGCTCCAAGCGGGCAGAAGGGCAGCGCTGATGCTTCGCCATTCCCTCCCGGCACGGGGGTGAAGCTGCCCCCCCAAAACACGAGGAGAGCCATCGCATCCAGAATGGGGGGACGCCTGTGGGCAGAGCTGGAGCTCAGCGCCCAGGATGTGGGATGGGGTGGGATGGCAGCGCCTTCAGAGGGGCAGTGAGAAGGCATTCGGCACTTAATCCAGCTCTTAAGGTGACACTTTATTGCTTAATCAATGGGTTCGTTTCAAAATGATATTTTTGCAGATAGGCACCTATGCAACTTAATGTGGCTCTTAAGCAGATGAGCACTTCCTCCTCAATGAGCTCGATAAGAGTTATTTGTGTTATATACTGTGGATTTTTCCAGTAAATGTGGCTTAATATTTTAATTCTTAGAACGTGTGTCTATTATATATGTGATGCAACTTAATTCTGTTCTGTTTGTGGAATGATTAGCACAGGCCCACTCCCTGTTCCCCTCACTTAACGAAGACCAATGAGCTGTTAATCGAGCTGTTATCTCCATGGTATTACTGCTAAATGCACTGATTTCATACGTATGTGGAATCCTTTTTTTTTTTTTTTCTTTGGAATCTGTATATCATATATAAGACTGAATTTGCTCAATAAACACTGTATAACAGAAGGGCTCTCTGCTCCGCTCTCACCCCAGGGGGCTCAGCCCCAAACAGCCTCAAATTGGGGTCTTTGGAAAAGAGAGAAAAGGACCAAACCCACTGCAGAGAGCTGTGATGGAGGTTGTGCTGCCCATTGGGAACAGAGCAGCACTGGCACACGCACATAGGGAACAGCACAGACCTTAACTTCTCTGCTGGCAAAATTCATTTTGTGATATCTGGTTGGTTTTTTGTTTTTTGGGTTTTTTTTTGTTCTTTTTTGGTTTGTTTTTTTTTTGTGAAACTGTGGAGTTTTCATCAAAGTTTGGGGAAAGCTCTCCCTCTCCTCCTGGAAAATACTGATTTTTCATTATCAGCTTTATTCGCTGAGTACAGTAAAGCTTTGCACCCACAAAACGCCCGTCTCCAAGCACTGCAGGGTAGAACCTCCAGACCTGCACTGACCCTGGCTGCAGCAGGAGGACTTCATGCAGCGATTGCAATTAACACACACACAGAGCTGAGGTTTCATGGCACACACACAAGGCCCAGCCCAGCGTTCCCATAACACAGCCCAGCCTTCAATTATTTAACAGCATCAGAGCTCACCTAAGCAACAACCCTGCTTGGTTATTCCAAAGACCCGGAGTGGTGTCTGCAGACCCCTACCAGGCAGGAGAGCATCAGTTCAGCATTAATGGTGTGGCAGCACCCAGAGTGGAGCACAGCACTGCTGTGCTGAGCAGCAGGCACTGCAGCCATGTGGTTCCCTCCTTGCAACCCCAACCCCAACACATGAGCTCACCACCACACGGCACAGCCATGCACTGAGGCCAGAACTGAGACACAACATCACCATTTGCATTATTCCTTTCCGAAGTGTTTTCTGCCTAGAAAAAAAAAAGAATATAGCTATAAGTTTATTGGATTAAAATGCAGCACGATGTAACTGATGTTGTTGTTAAGCTTTTGCAAATGTTTCAGACCCAGGCACGGGGCAGCTCTGCTCAGGGATGGCCCCAGTGGGGCTCAGCAGTGCCTGCACCGCTCTGAGCTTCGCAGCATCACTTCCCTGGGGTGGGTGCACAGCCTTTGGTTATCTGCAAGCATACAACAAAAACGATGTGATGAAGCTGAGACAACAAAGCAGCTCCTTTTTCAATCACCTGAGCCAAGCTCAGGAACGCTCCCACTTCAAAAAAAGAGGAAAGAAAAAGCAATATTGCCACAGAGAAACACACAGAGGGGCGATTTCAGGAAAAAGAGCATTGCAACCACAAACGCAGCTTTTAGAGAGTGTTTATTGTTCCAACACAAGGGACGTACACCAGGCGGCTCAGCGCACACCGCAGGGCCCCGAGCAGCAGAGCCCACCGCGCTGCTCTCTTTGGTTCGCGCTCCTCCGCTCCGAGCCCAGGCGGTCGCCCTCTCCCTGCAGGTGTGTGAAGGATGACCACTGCAGAGGCCAAAACTGGGGCAGCCCTCAGGGTTGCATCTCCATTAGAAAAAAAAAAAAAAAAGAAAAAAAAAAAAGAAAAAAAAAAGTGCACAGTCAAGGGAGGTAGGAGAGAGCTAGAAAAGGTACAAGCAGAAAAAAAGTAATAAAAAAATCCTATTCCTTCTACTGTCTTCTTAAGGAACGTCTGAGTTCTGCTCCCACTGAAGCAATTCACGTTCGGGAGTTGCTCCGGAGGAAGAGGAGCTGTTCTGCTGTCAGCCAACAGAGGTGTGAGGACATCCACCTTCGTGCACCACCGGGAGACACGGCAACAGCAGCAGCTGCAAAAGGTCCAGGAGTGAGCACAGAGCCCTGGGCACGGCAGGCAGAGCCTCACCTTGGGCAAGACAGAACACAGCGGCTCTGACTACAGATGCAGATTAACAACTAACACCACTTTAATGCAATACTGCTGGAGAGCCCGAAAAATCCAAGGAAAAAAGAACCCTTTATGTACTATGTACATTACATCCATTTACAGAGTTGGCCAGTACTGTGTACAACATATAAATACATGATGAAACAGATGCATAGAGGATACTTACAGGAGCCAAATAATTCACTTTATACATCCAAGAATGAAAATATATATAAAAAAAATAATGAAAAAACACTGCTTTAAATGTTAAGATGATCGTCACACAGATGCACAGCTAGACACTTGCAAGTGGTCAGATGCTGTCACGGTAAGGTCCTCACTGCAGGGCTGCAATGCACAGATGGCTGCTGGCCATGCACTGAGCTTTTCAGAGCCTTCCTGCACGGATGTGTGCTACGAGGAGGCTGCAGCAGCCTCAGCCCTCAGCTGGTGCCAGAGTTCAGCTGGGCAACCCAAAGCCACGCATATCCTGCAAGGCAGGAGCCATTCCCTTGGCACGTGCTGCCTATTTTTCTTCTCGCAGCTCCAACTGCAGGGTGCTTCACTGCTCACCACGTCCAACCACAGCACCGGAGACCATGCAGAGGCATCTGCGTCCTGCCTGCACTGCTGTGCTCAGCACACAACCAACCACGGAGATGGCAGAAGGGGAGAGTGGAAGACTGTAGGGGCTAACCTAGAGCAGCCCTGAAATAGAACACACCCTGTTCCAGTTCCTTTGGATGTAGAGGTCTCCTCTCCGGAGGGTCCACGGATGCCACAACAAAGTGCCTCCCAGCCAGGTGTCAGCTTCAGCACACATCCCAGGGCACAGCCAGCACGTCCATGATAGCACAAAGCAGAAGGATTGGCTCCAGTGGGGCGCAGCCCACAGAAATCGGAGTGTCGTCGTGAGCAAGGAAGGGTTTTGCACTGTAGATTTCAGTGGGAAGGCGAGTCAACTTTCCTCACCGAAACAAAGTATAATAGCATTTCTACTATAAACAGAATAGTATTCTGTGTACAGGTTTAGGATCAGTCGTTATCAAAATACGCACACTGAATATACAACCTGTCCCATGGCCATAATTTATTATCTCACCACAAGGCACAATACACAAAGCTTAGAGGGTCCTATACAGTCATCGTGACAAAACGCCCCGCAGCCTTTACACATTATCATGGCTTTAAGGCTGCACGAACACTTGAACGATATTTCTTCAACGCTGCTGCTATCAGCAAACATCTGCACAGAGAGGGACGTGTTATGGTTTGCAGCAAAGTTCGCTTTGTGGGTTAGCTGCATCATGCTTCCAGCAAGGCTTCTGGGAAAAGCTGGAGCGCTGGATGAATAATTAAAGCTGGTGGAATTTAGCTGCAGCTTAGAAAGCTTCCCATAAAACGCTTGTTTGATATTGAACTGAGAGGGTATGGAAGAAGGCTCCAAAGGGTGATTGTGTCTTTTTCCCGCTTCCCTTGAAAGCTTCAGGAACGGCAAGTCCATCATCAGAGGAACACTCTGTGAATGCTCCCTCAGCTCTGCAGGGTTTGGTGCTGCATCCTTCTGGCTCTCCCCACTGTTCTTGGTTGGGCTGCCACATGCCAACACGTTCTCATTTTTTATTCCTCCCAGGGTGTTCACATGCTGCTTTGAAGTCCACTCTTCCCTTGCAGCCGGCATTCCTTCTGCAGACGCACAGCTTTTGGTCACAGGAATCTGTTTGCTCGGGGCCAAGGCTCCCATGGCTGAAACCTGATCTGAAGCCCTTGAGTGATGTAGCCTAACGCTGGGGTTGCAAGGAAAACCAGAACCAAAAAGCTTTTTGCCTTGAACTCCAACATAGTTTTGATTGACAGATGTATTCCCCATCTGATCTGGGCCAAGAGAATCTACGTTTGGAGATAAAAACGGAGGCTCTGGAGTCAGGTTCGGCTTCTCAGGACTTTGATTTGTGATGACATTTGTTAATGAGTTATGCTGTGGCACCCGATGGACCTTAGACAATTCTTTTCGCTCTTCAAAGCTACAGGAAGAAAACGTTCTTTCCCGAGGGCTCGTGTCTTCAGGCTTCTGAGAGGCATTTGCCACATTTGCCAGTTGATCTTGGCAGCTTAAGGTTAAGCCAATTTTGGAATGTTTTTCTGGAACGGGCTGATTCTCCATACCCTCCACTGTAGGCAATGCTGCTCCTGACCCACATGTCTTCTCCTGGGGATCTACAGAAGATCTCACTGGGTGGAAGTCATCACTCCTGGTTAGGGCACTCGTCTTTATCTGCACATCTGGGCAAGATTCTTTACCAAAATAGCAATTGCTACCCCTCTCCATTGGCATGGGGAGGCTTTCTGACTGCTTGTCTAGAGGTGGCTGTGCACCTTCGACCTTGATGTTGGCGTGAGATACTGGGAGAACCTCTTCCAGCAGACGGTTCCCCTTAAGCAGCTGCTTCACCAAAGGGCTGCTGGCATCAGAGGATATGGACTGAGCAGAACCTGATGGCCTCTCAGCCTTTGGGGGCAATGGTGCATGCAGTTCCCACCTCTGAGGTGGAGGTGCAGTGCTCACCGTGGCCACTGAAGAGAAGTCCACAACGCAGGGCAGATCACCTGCTTCCAGAGATGATTTTGAACTAATTTTATCACATTCCTCAGTGCTGCTCTGACAGAAGGAGCCCTTCCTAGCTACCTCCCTACAGCTGAGGTTTCTGTAACAGATCTCCATCTCCATATTCTCATCAACCACGTCAGCTTCAAAATCCGAAGCAGTATCTGTTGATTCACTGTGTGTACTCTGTACTTCATCATCTCCATTTGCTTTGAACTCTCGAGTCTCTCTCAATGGCTGGCACTCATCTTCTGATTCTGTTCCGGGGCGCCTCTCCCTCAGTTGTTCAGAGGTATCTATCCTATTCTGAGAAACAAAGCCATCACATAAAGAGGAAGATTTCAACAGAGATTCTGCATTCTGTTCCTCACTGCTCAGTTTGCCATTATTCTCTCTCCCTGCCTGCAGGTGTGTGAAGTTACACAGTGCAGGCACTCCTTCCTGTGCTCCAGCAGTCACTATTTTGGAGTCACCACTATAATTTTTCATGCATTGTTCCACGAATGTTGTTTCGGAGCCATTAAATCTAAATCTCGATATCACTTTCGGCTCATGGCATTCTTTACCACCTGATGGCAACTCTGGCAGAAGAGCAGGATGACTGGTGGAATTTTCCTTTACATCAGAAGGATAATCCAACTGTACAGTGGGAATACCAACATCTCTGAGTTCTGACACAATCCTGCCTCCTGCAGGACCAATCTCAGCTCCCTGCGCCTGAGGACATGACAGATCAACTGCGGGAGGAACCACGTGTGTCACCTCTGTGCTCTGCCCCTCCTGTGACGCAGCACATGATGAGGATTCAGTCCTCGCATCGCAGAAGAGCTGCTCAGGGCTCTCCTCTGGCCTCTCCAAAGCCGTGCTGTCCAACCCTGACGCAGTCAGAACATCACAGCACTGCCCTCCAGGTGAGCCATCACCGGACTGAGCTTCCCCTGAGCCAGCGCCGGTGGCGCATTCCAGAACACCACTTCCCTCAGTCTTTGAAGAAAAGGAGTCTTGTTTTGAGGAGGCAAAAGAATTTGTGCTGGCTGCCTGTGCGGCCGCCTCAGAGCTGGCCTTCTCTCCATTCAGACGGAGAGACGAGAGTAGTTGTGTTCGCTGTAGATCTGACGAGCGCTTTCGACGAGTTCTCTTTGATCTCCTGCGTCTGCGATGGCTGCTGCGTTCTCCTCCACCTCCCTCAGTGTTTCTCCCTCCGCCGGGGCCACCCCCACCACCAATGGCGGCTGCAGCAGCTTCTCGCTGGGCTCGGGCCTGCAGAGCACGGGCCTTAATGTCTGCGAGAGTTCTGGCCCCACTCCTGCCCCGGGCGGAGGGCTCCGTGTTGGGGATGATCCTGGGGCATATCTGGTAAGCTGGCTGACCTTTAACCACCCAGGGTGGTTTAATACGTGAAAGTTGAATCTGAAAGAAAAAAGAGAAACACTCAGTTGTAACGCTCAACTATTTTCAGACAGCAAAATGCATTTTCTTAACATCTTCCTATCGCAATATTTCGTTAAGGAGTTAAAATTCCAACTTAAACACAAATTTTGGCAGAGCAGTGGCACAGTTCCCGTAACCCCTGCTTATGTGCTCTGTCATGCGGGATGTAAAGCTCACTCGCTATTAACGCTGCTTTGCCAGAGCTAGCAGACAAACATGAAATAGGTGCTTTGCCTTCAGACCTCCATAAATCAAAATGGTCTCCTTTACATCAGGGTGACTGCTCTGAAGCTAGCAAGATGGATGCCTCCAGTTGAAACAGCATAAGTCTGAAGGAACACTTTTCTGCCCCCAAAAGAAAGGAACGGGGAAATGACACAGGATAAAGAATATGATTTGAAGGTCTCTTTCGCAACGAGTCAGCTGGTTTCAGGACAAATGATTTCTGCATCCACAGAAATTAAAATTAACACAGTAAGTCAAGGTTATGCTGAGCTCTTGCACAAAGACCTTGGAATGATTTTCCATTCTTTGCCCTTCTAAACAAGATAGTAAACTGGGGCACTCAGAGGTACTCAGCCAGCTCTGCCAATGAAACCCTTCCACTTCTGCTAACATGACAACACTTGACATTTTAATAATGTTTTGATGCTACTAAGCGTGAGAGGCCTGAGATACCAAGCAGCTATAATTCTCTTTCCTACCCGGATGGGTGGGACTTTTGGCTCCTCTTTAGTAGGTTGTGGCTTTTCTGAGTGAACACTTTCAATTGTGTTACGAAAGGACTGACGATCTTCAAGCCGGGGCTTCTTTTCGGGGAAGGAGGCAGAGGCAGCCTCCTCAAAGCATTTCCTCTTCTGGTCCTTTGGTTCCCGAGCAGAGCTCTCCTGGGACAAACAGGGAATTCTGTTTGTAGTTGCCAATGACAGATCTTCCGATTTACTGTGCAATTTGGAAGTCTCTGGAGAGAGATGCAATTCTGAATTCTCTGGCTTCAGTACTGCAGCAGAAGCACTCGTCAGCTCATCTTTCTTCAGGTCCACCTCAGACTTTGTGTCTTTATGAAGAGAGGAATCCGGTCCCACAGAAGCAGTCTCTTTGGAAGCCTCTTTTTGCTCAGAATCACGCAGTTTGTACAGGCTCCTCCTGGCTCTGCATCGCAGGTCGGCCCGGGAGCGCTTCTTGAAGTGCCCATCCCTCTGCCGTGTGGAAGGACCACGTGGCAGCCTTGTTTCTCCTTTAACAGACAGAGCTGTCCTGTTCTCGGCATCTTCTTGCACCAAATTCTGCTCCTGGGATTCTTCTTGGGTCAAGCCCAACCTATAAGGCAAACGCAGAAACTAGTTAAAATCTAAAGCTCATCCCCATTTAAGCATTTCATCTATTATTCATAGTGGTACCGTCAGCACTATACATAGTAACATACAGATTACAAAGCAGAGACTCATCAAAACCTCATTAAGTCAGCCTGCAATGAGATAATCTCTGTATCTGCGATCCCACATTATTATCACAGGGAGCAAGGGAAATAGGAAAAACATAAAGATACGTGATGGAAAACAAATAATATTAACTTGTCTTGAGGACAAAACAGATGGGCTATAAAATTCTGCTCTGACCAAGCCAATTCCCCCTAAGGAACCATCTTCTCATGTATCCACAAGCAGAACCACACACTGCCACCTGAATAAGCATCCATAAAAAGGACAGAGGAGGCAAAATTCCTTACTTTTGTCCATAGTAGTCCTCAAAGAACTTCTCCTTCCACTGCTCCACTCTCTTCTCCTTCTCCATCTCCTGCCGAATTCGAACTTGCATTTCATGTGTGAATTCACCTACAGGGATTGAAGATACTGAAATTCAGTTCCAAGCAAAACTGATTTTGGAAAAACAATCTCTTTTAACAGTATAGTATAGAAGTTATATATAATGATGGATGTTTCTCTTATTGCTCTGCCTTCCACTCTACTATGCCACCTGCAACTACTTAAATGCAATAGTCAGAAAGCCTGAAGTAAATCTGGAAACTAAACACTGTATTTTACCAGTTGTAGGTCACTATTCAAGGAAAGATAAGTCTGGCACTACATTACACCTCCACTATTTTGTGCTGAATATCCCATGGCATCTAGAGAAAATGAAATCTATGATTTTAAAGGAAAATAAACATAAGCTGAGGGCAAGACAGCCCCACGCACTGCCAAGTTGGACTACATTCCCATTCAGTAACTGGGAAAGAAGAAAGCCCATAAAATGAGTACTTTTTCTGCAACCACCTGAGAAAGCAAAGCAACTCACCGTCAGCCAGGCGTTCCCTCCAGCTCTGAGCAGCATGGGTGAAAAATTCATTATTCAGAGCGCTGCCACTGAGACGCATCAGCCCATCAGCCCCAACCTTAGGGGACAAAAAACAGGATAAAGAAAACAGTGCTTCAGCTGTTCTGCCAGAAAGAGCCAACAGGGTGAACAGAAAACAACCACGTGCTGCACCTTCGTACCTGTCTATCAACTTCTGGAAGGAGGTAAAGAAGCTGCTGCTGGAAGTGCGATGGGAGTGCATTAAAGGTTCTGGAGTTTATCAGAGCCCGCAGGTTTGTATTGACAAGAATGGAACCAGGTGTTTCAAAGTCAATATCCTCACCCCTGTTTCGTTTCATTTGCCCTGTAGTTTAAGGGCAGGCAAATAAGATAAACATTATTGTATAACAATGTATCAGCATTATGTGCAAAGAGGACACCACAACAGACCACACTGTAAACTACTTCAGCAAAAGGAGTAAAGACTGTAGTATTCAAGTATGAAGAATGGCTTGCTCAACCATGCCAATTAATACTAAGCACGCAACTGGAATTTTGACACACAGTTCTCAATACTGTTTTCCACAGCAGGAAACTCTTAAACAACTGGCTCACTAAGTTTGGAGAGGAAGATCCAGACCAAGAGCCTTAATATCATCATATACCTTCTAAAGGAATTGTTTTCTTTACTCAGAAATATAGAGATGTCAACACTGCTGGCTTTTATGGCCAATTTTCTCCTGACTGTAATAGAAGCACTTACCAGCTGTGGGCTTTCGGATACCTCTCAGCAGCTGTGGAGGATCCCTGTTTATTTCTGTTCGGCTGCGCAAGGTGGCACTGCACAGAGCCAAAGAACTGCTGCTGCTGCTGGATGTGCTGCTGCTCTCCCCATCAGCATGCCTTCCTGTGAAGCCTAAATGCAATAGAACTTCACAGAAATACGCAAAGAACAGAAGACCAACTTGCAGAGTAGCTTTAGCCCATAAGAATGATCTGCTAATAACAACAGTTCAATTCTCACAGGTTATTGGCTGATTGAGAAAAACGTACCCCCAACAGCACAAATCAGTCACATGTATTCTCAGCAAATGTTAAAGAAGCCCTCAGGCAAACTTTCCGTTAGGGACCACTGATTAAAAGCTATCCACATATTTGTAAGAATCATCAAGACAAAAGCAATGCTCACCAGATGCAGACTCCATGTGTGCCCCATTTACTTTCAGTGGTGTTAAGACAACACGTGGCAACATTACACCTGTCTTTCTCTTTTGTTTGGTTGTCTGTGGTCCAAAAAGAAAACAAAAGCAAAACAAAGGCACAGTGACATGATGGTAAGGCAAAATAATCTTCCAAGCAACGTATTTCCCAGTTAAAGAACCACTTAGCTTCTAGGTAAATATTCAAGTGTCAGTCACTAACTACATTTACAAATAGCAGAGAACTCAAAACTTCAACCCTGTACAATTCCTAGGAACTCCTCACCCAAGGATACAGCCCCACCTCTCTCCCTGAGGCACCTGTGCACACCTGGTCCCTGTCACACAGCATGGAAAGCTGTCCTTTCTCCTACCTGTGAGGCTGTTCTGTTGCTCTCCCTGGCAGTAGAGGGTCCCTTGCTCTGAGATTCGGTGGAACAGGAGGCGTTAGAGGAGGTTTCATCAAGAGACACTGAAACAGACGTGCCCTCGGTCAGAAACAGAAGTAGATACTTGCAGCTTAAGGTGAATGTTATTAGACACTTACCATCATTATCACCACTCACAGTGCTTGTTTCATTGGACTCGCAGCTTTCTGCATCTGCTGTATCCTCCAGTTCATCCCCTTCTGGCACAGACAGGTTTCGAGACCACTGCAGGGCATCCTTCTAAATAGACAAACAGAACTCAGGTGGCTGCAGTCCTCCTCCCTGTTCCTACTGGTTTAAACCAACAGGAGCTGTTGGTTTCACAGATATAGGTTTTATTTTAATTTCTTCCCTGATTTAATCCCTTTGATGCAGAAAGATATTTAGGTTCCTACTGGAGCCTATGTAAACCATTAGCACACTTTTAAGACATTTCCATCAGATATATCTAAAGTTCATATTAGTAACCTTATATCACTCTTGTGAATTAAGCACACAGTTTCTAAGGAAGAGAAATATCTCAATATCTCATTCTTACTAGTTAAAGAACAGGCATCACTCAAGAAGTCAGCTACTAAGACAGCAAGCCTGGGAGATGCATTTACTAACTGTGTAACAAAAACCATTTCAATTCCTTCTGTTTTTTTCCAAAGTGTGACAATTTAACAGAATTTTCTGATGGCAGTAAAAGAGTTGCAAATGGAATAGCCAAGATGTTAGTTGTTTATAAAGCTGATATTTATCAGGGCATCCAACAGTACAAAAGAATGCCAATGAAAAGCCTGAGGCATTTTCAACACTGAAGATTACTGGGACAAAAGACTAAAATAAAACATTTCAGAGAGAACTCTGAGTGAAAATACATTTTGCTATCAAGATTTTACTTGTAGCTATAAGCTCTCAGAACAACACAATTTACTGGTTGGCCATGTTCCTTTGTGGCTCTTGGATGAGTGAAACAGGACTATTTTGGTAATCACCCAACACCTGGGTTGAAAACAGAAAATTGGAATAAGAATTTATCATGCTTGTGCAATTCATGAAATAATAGGCAGGGTTGAAAGGAATGTACCGCATGTGGATGAACATGGCAGAAAGGTAAAAAAGCTACGATGAAATAATGAATTCCAGACACACTTTCACATGATGATCTCACACGCAGCACACTCAGCTCATATGATGCTCAGTGACAGTTTAACACTCAGCTGCGCATAACAAGCAGAACTCGCAGCTCAGCTTTCAACCCAGAGCACAAACTCAATATTTACCTTCAGTGTGAACAGGCTGATACGTCCAGGCAGTTTGTAGAAGAGCCCATCACCTCCCCTGGAATTGGAATGGAGCATGGCGTTGAGGCAGGCCAGGGGAGAGGTGCCACTGAAAAACAGGAGGGCACAAAAGGGATTGCATCATTTCCAGAAACGGCCTTATCAAGAAAACAGCCCAAAATGAAAGATCTGTTTAAATCAGCATCAGTTGCTGATGGAGAGGAACAACGATGAGACTCATTAACTTTATGGGACAGGCACTTCAGTCAGACTAGTATTACTGTTTCCCATTCTGACCTGTACATTTGCCTCAACACATCACAGTAAAGCAATCTGCAGAAAACAGGAAATGTTAGGCTAATTTTGAAGTTACTCTTGGTCATTTTTAGTTGCTTCTTTCATTACACATTTCCTCCGTTATTCTGCTTGTAATTTTCAGACTTGGATTGATTCTACTAAAAACCAGATTTAGTCAGCAGCAGCAAAACAAGAACAGAGACAGCAAAAATGGTACGCATACGTATTTCTGGAATGTCTTTCCTGATATAACTCTGCACTGGCAGAGTTAGATGTAAAAGGTCTGATGAACCCATTTGGCAAGCCCTATGCAGTGCCCCAGTTTTGCCATTTGTGACCAAAGCAGCCATCCTACGCTCACAGCAATGGAACTTCCGTGCCATGTAACCTCATGTTTTCCAGTAAGTCACACAAGGGCATGCAGAAAACTACCTGGAAGAGACATTAAAGCAGTCCTGATTTCACTGTTATTAAAAGTGAAACTGAAAATGGATGGAGACAAAAAGAAATCAAAGAAAAACATTCTCATACTGAAAACTGAGCTCAGAACCATTTCTATTTCTACTCTCAGTGCATTTGGGTTTTGGGCGTTTATTCACAAGCCTCAGCAGCAGACAAAATCACCCTCAATCATTTTTAGATACCATGAAAAAAAATTCCCAGCCTTCTGGCCTGTCAGACAGTTCTTTCCCTTCAGTACTTAACAGAACATTTCAAGTAAGCCAGCCAGCCACAGAGCACATTTTCTTGAAATGGCAAAAAAACACCAAAAACAAAACAACAGAAAAACCACAGACACGGTCTTTTTTTCCCAGAAGGAGGGAAAAACAAATAGTTAGAACTTTTCCAGGAGGAAGATTTTGGCTCTGCTGCTGGGTGCTGACACCCCAGCTTAGCACAGGGTCCATAGGGCTGCTAAGACCAAGGCCCTTCTAACTGGTTGAGGTCACCCCCAGACCAGGACAGCACTGCCTCAATACTGATTCAAAAGGAAAACCCCCTCCCGAGTAGCTAAGCCGTTTCCTTCAGGAAATGCATTTTCAGGAAGGCCTTCTATTCAAGTAGCAGGAAAACCTGCTGCATATTTAGCTAGACAGGATCGCTGCCTGTGTCCCGTGAACAATTATGCTGGGAAGAAAACAGGCTTTTCTTACAGCAGAGAGTTAACAACAGGAAGGAAAAGCAGACATCCCAAAGGAAATCCACTGACTGCCAGATGAGTGAGGCAGCTTGCAGGGCTCTGCACAATGCAAGGTTTGGTTTGCAGCTCCCTAATGTGAGAGGTCACTTGGCAGAACTGGGAGAACCCCAAAGCGACTGCTGCTTGAGGACATATCTGATGCAACCTGGAACAGCACAGAGATCTTCAGCTACCTGCGTAAGGTGGAGGACTGATCCAGAAAGGCACAGAGTATCAATTAAAATTAAGCTTTCACTGTCTGAATTCTTCTAAGATATGCAATATCACCTGTACCAAAGCACTGGAGATGTGTGTGGTGAAGAGCCCAGCCATGGGGTGAGTGTTCAGCAGCCCCACTGAAGCAGCAACTGAAGATGACATACCTGTACAATGTCAAGAGCCACAACAGTGTAAGCAGTGCTTTCACAGTGCTCAGAAGTACCAGAAGTGCCAGCAGAGTGCTATAAGATACAGTGAGACCCTCTGAGTCTCTTAAAATGTCTGCTCTAGAAGTGAAGAATCAGAAGAGACAGAACTGAAACTATTACCAAACTAGAGCCTAATAGTAGAAAGCACCAGGAGCTACTTATGAGAGAAATATGCAGGTGGCAAGTAAATTAGTGAGGAGTCTGATCTGCAACGGGCATTTGTTTCACAGCAGATGGCTGAAGGGAACTCTGTAGGTCACAAAAAAAAAAAAAAAAAAAAAGAAAAAAGTATTATAAATAACTGTATTGTCAACTGAAATTACCAAACGGTGGAAAGGGAAAAAAGGAAGCAGGAAAGCAGGCTGGGGATGAGGCACAGTCACACGGAACAGCTCAGGCCTTCTATGCAGCCTGCACCACGCACATGCTGGGTTTTACATGTGATCATCAATACTAACCTCATTTCCTTCAGTCCTTCAGCCTCTATGACCTGCAGAATCTGCTTTGGGGTCATGGGAGCATCTGAGTAGTTTTCCAGCACCTGAAGAGACAGAAATACCAAGTGTCATCACAGGCTTACATCTACCTTCACAGAACTGCTCAATACGCCAGGGTTCAGAGCCTAAAATACACCTCTTAGAGCTTTATTTATCTACAGAAGACAGGTGCTAAAAATTTCAGGTACTTCATAGTAAGCATAACAAAAGCCTTGGCTCCACAACATGAAAGCCAGGGGGAGCTTCATCAGACTCCAACATGCAATACCAATCTGCTACCAACCAGCCTTCAAAACTGTATAGCATAGTAGTTAGGGACCTTTAATGATGTAAAATGTTCTCCCAACCATATGCCTTCCCACCTCCCAGCAAGGAATCCAGCATTTTTCTGGCAATAAAAATATTACTGGGCAACTGCGTAATTCTTTCCTTGGCTTACTGTGCTCAGTTCATCTTATCAAGGGGAGTGCCGTGGGTAAGTGTTGAGAAGGACAGAGTTCAGGAAAAGACAACAATGATAAAGGACATAGAAAAAATTATGGGTAGGTGCTAAAATAAAGTAAGCTGCATGCCTTCGAAGGAAAATGTAAAAGTCAGACACTAAAAAGGCAATAAAATAGATAACAGCTCGTCCTTCCATATATCATATGAAGAACTGCAACTTACACGTGAAGAATTAGACAGGCTGATAGATATATATATTTTTAAAGCCTGTGGAAATTACTGCTCCAAGTACTGGAAGAACCTTGAGGATTCAAAGAGGACTGACATCTCTGCTGATATGGTCTGCCTGCATCTCCATCCCATCCCTCAGTCAGAGAGAAACCCAGCCCCATGCTCTTCAGCTCTGCACTTCAACTGTGTTTTCTGATAAAGGAATTAGTTAAACCATAGCCACCCGATATGAAATCTTCAGGTGTTTGAAGATGACAAGAACAGGTGTCAGTAAGCAAGTGGGGAAGAACCACATACCCTGAGATAACATGCAACGAAAACACAGAGTTTAAAGAAAACATCAAAGAAAGCAGTAAACCAAATTCTAAGCGTAAACAATTTTAATTCCTTGTCAGTGCAGCTCCAGCATGCCTCCCTCCACTGATCACAGAGCCTCTGTAGGTCACCATCTCTGCACCCTCCTCACACCCCAGTGCTCTGCATCACCCCAGTGGGACAGGCACTGACAAGGGAACATTCCTGTCTTAGAAAACAAGGGAATCCTTCACAGCTGACAAAGTCTCTCTCAAGTGTCAGACACAGCACAGCCTAAAACTGAACACAAATGAGCATTTACATAAAAATAAAAGAATCTGCACTCTTGGGAACAATTTCCACTCAACTACATACCACTAATGGGGAACTCACACACCTCCAGCCAGCAGCACCACCCCTACCTGCCTCATTGGTGGGGATTCCAACCGGATCTCCACCAACACCAGCTATTCCCTGTGCCAAGGAGACGCCTTCCTCCACCATTTGTAACACACAGCTGAGGTTCCTACATGCCCAGTGATGGAGGCTGAACCTTGAGTGGTGTGGGCACCTGGCTCTGACAGTGCCCATCAAACAATGCCACGACTCCAGGTGCCTCATCTTTAAGGGTTTGTTTTATGGGGTACGCATAACGTTTGCTCTGGAGGAGCAGCAACACTAAAAAGCACTTTTACCTGTGATTCTCAGAAACACTGAGAGGAATACGAAATCCAGCAGCACACGTCAGAAAGGAAAATTAAAAGCATTTTGACAAGGAGCATTTGTAAGCCTAGCGTTAAATAAAGATCTATTTTTAGTGGATTTACAATCAGTCCTGCAAGCTGGGAGTGCAGCTATGCAACTGCAGGTCTCTCTAAGTGGATAATCTAGCAGGAGATGGTTCTATTTCTGGTCCTTCAATGGCACTGTGATGCTGCTGAGGCCCTGACATCTCCACTCCAGTGCCTGAGGTGCTGGCCCAGAGGGCAGGTGAGAGAAACCATGCCTGGGAGGGGATCTTCACTGCTTCACAGGGGTGAAGATGTGCATCAGGAAACAGCTGCTCAGCCACCCACTGAGTGTGGTGCTCGGGGCAGCCCCACACACTGAAGTTTTTACCCATTGGAGCTCAGGACTCCAGGATGAGGAGGATTTGGTGCCACACAGCCCTGTGCTGCCTGCAGTCCGGACTCAATGCCTGCACACGGCCCCGCAGCCCCACAGAACCGGGACCCCATAGAGACACAGCACAGCTCCCAACTTCTGCCTTTCTCTGTTTTTTCAAGCCAAAGTTACGAGGGCCACAAATACGATCGTCTTCCACACCCACGGGGATGTGAGCTGCTGGACAAGAGATGTCCACACAGCGGGGCCTCCCTTGGGCTCAGCCACCCAAACGAACCTCACACAGAAGGAGCACCGTGGGCACCTCAGCTCAGACCCAAGAGCAGCAGGGCCGGGTGCTCCTTTCCTGCCCACTCCTTGGCTCCGAGCCTTGCACTCACCACCTCTGAGCAGCACGAAGCCAACCAGGACGGCCTGCAGCCCCATAAACCTGCAGCCCTATAAACCTCACACACCGTCAGCTCGCAGCCCGGCGCTCGGCCAGCAGGACACAAAGCTTCCTTTCCTTTCCTTTTCCTTTCCTTTTTCTTTCCTTTCCTTTCCATTCCGTCTCCGGGCAGCTCACCATTCCGCGCGCGCTCCCGAGCACAACGCGGGGCCGGGCGCGCGGCCGCATCCCGTCACGGCCGGAGCGATGAGGCCCGGCCCGGAGCTCCGCCATGGCCGCACGGCGCGGGGAGAAGGGCCGGGCCCTGCGCCGAGAACCCCCCCATACACACATATACACACATATACACCCGGGCCGGGCCGGGCCGGGCCCCTCCGCCCCCCCGCGGCCTGCCGAAGCCCCGCGCGCCGTTCGGGCCCTCACCAGGCGGGCGGCCTCGGCCCACGTGCGCTCCTTCTTCCTGCGCTGCTTCATCTCCCTCATCCTCCTCCCGCGCTGGCGGCGGCGGGCGGGCGCGGACCGTTAGAGGCGCGCGCGGGC